GCCTGTGAGCCTTCTTTAAACTCTTTAGTTTTATACCCACATTGCAATATGTCATTTACTTTATCAATTTAACTGGGTTAAAACTTTTAAAATAGGCGGCAACCCTCCTAAAAAATATTTCCAGCAGTTATCTTTCTTAAACCTCTTTAATTTAATATCTATATTGTAAAATATAATTACGTTTATCAATTAAATTGCGAAAAAAATGTAACAGGTGGCAACCCTACTTTAAATTTTTTCGACTGTAAGCCTTCTTAAAACTTTTTAGTTTGACACCCACATGGCAATATTTTATTTATTTTATCAATTTGACTGAGTTAAAATTTTCAAATAGGTGGCAACACTCTTCAAAAATATTTCTAGCAGTTATCTTTCTTAACCCTCTTTAATTTGATACCAATATTGTAATATTTCATTTATTTCATCAGTGCAATTTAGTTAAACTTTGAAACAGGTGGCAACCCTAATCATACAAATTTTCGGCTGTAAGCCTTCTTAACACTCTTTAATTTGATACCCACATTGCAATATTTCATTTACATAATCAACTTAGCTGAGTTAATATTCTCAAATAAGTGGCAAACCCCATCAAATATATTTCCAGCAGCTATTTTTCTTTAACCTCTTTAATTTGATACCCATATTGCCATAATTTATTTATCTTATCAATATATTTGAGTTTAAAAATTTTCAAATAGGTGGCAACCCTCCAATTTTTTGCGATATCATTGGTTCTGGTATTATACCGAACAATACAAAAAAAAAAAAAATTATTCAAATCGGTTCAGAAGTTCTCGAGTTTTGACGACCGTGACATACGAACACAACATTTTTATTGATATAGAAGATTTACTTTATTAAAGTTAACAACTTTATAAAATATTAATTTTTATGAGAGAACAAAAAAGCACAGCTACACAGCTTTGCAAACCACAAACCAAAATTCACAATTTTACACCAAGTTATACACCAGGGTGCTACTTGAGTGTTTTATTGAGCTGCTATTTCGGAGATCACCACACCTCCTCCTGAGGCTTTTTCATCGAGTTCACTGGGGTTCGTACTAGTGACTCCGGCTTATAGAGCCAGTGGTCTACCCACTGAGCAAAGTTCACCATGTAAACCGTTGTTAAGTTTTTCACTTTTTTATTTGTCAATCCAACTACAATACAGGACCTCTATTTTGCTGATATTTAGACTTCACCATGTGCTTGTTGTATTCTGCACTGTTTTTTTTTTAATTAAAAACGGCGTCAAGATGAATAAAGTTGTTGAATATGATAACTGTAATATAAATAAGCGTTAAAAATTACGATTTTTCTTACATAATTTAGGCTTCGCTAGGCATCGCTAGGCATCATCGGATCTGGCTGGAAAAATAGGCTGACTTCCAAAACGTCAATTGCTTTGCATACGTACAATGTATAAGGTTCCATAACATCGAACTACAAAATATTGACAACGTATACAGTTCCAAAACGAATCCGAAAAGTTATCGAAACGCAGCGCTAGAGCAATCAGCGCATCAGAAACAAAGTTGATGCTTCGTTTTTTATTGGTTACCATTGGTGTTTTAGAAATGGACAATTCAGAGAAAATGTTCATTGCTATATTGAATATTTAAAATATACAATGTATATGGTTGCAATGTGTCGCAACTTGCATATGAAAACAGTTTGAATGCCGCAGTGTAACAGTTTCCAAACATTGTATTGATACGTTTTGGAAGTCAGCCATACGTTATTTAATGTTTTAAGAACCGAAAATTTATGGATTAATAAAAATTTATGGTCAATCTAACCAATCATGCGTACATATTTTTAGTACTATTTGCCTCTAACCATATGACCAGGGAACGGATTTTTAGGACCTAACCTATTAAAAAGGCAAAATAAAGTAACCAAATAGGCTAGAAAACGCAAAATAAAAAAGCGAAATAGGCAGTAGAAGGCACTAAAAAAAGAGAAAAACCGAAAAATAATCAAAAATACATTTGTTTTAGAAATGTTTATTTTACAAGTAAAAAGAGAAAAACTATGAACTTGTTTCATTATATGAAACACTTGTACTTTGAATCGTTGACTATTTTTACCGACTTCCAAAAAGGAGGAGGTTATCAGTTCGGCGGAATATTTTTATTTTTTTTTTATATATGTTACCGCATAACTTTGGACCACGTCAACCGATTCCGATAATTCTTTTTGCATCGGAAAGGTAGTCTCTCAAAGGTGGTCCCATACTAATCCGATCATTGGATCATGAAATATATATATACATATATTTTTTGTTTTTAAGTCGTTTTTTTTGCTACAAATTACTTGGAAATTTTCGAGTTTTTAACTCACAAAACTTTAATCTCTATAATTGTAGTAACATTGAAACACAAGACTTTTTTTTTAAGTTTTCTGGCAACTTTTTCATTCGATTTGCGCGAGAAAAGTGTTGAATGTACTACACGTGCGCTCGACGTGGGTTAATACAAGTGGCACCCAATTTAAGTATGGAACGGTTAAACTTTCATATTATCAGGAATAAGGGCTTTTTCCTTGCTCTTTACAATTAAAGGTAGAAAAGGCAACATCAAATGTGTATATATGTAATCAGGGAAATCTAAATCGTGGACATTCTAAATCGAATGTGCTCAATCTCTTTAGCAGCAATAAGGCAATTTGCATAAAATCCGTTCCCTGCGTATGACATTGTATATCAACCTTCAATACCTCCAATTTTAGATACCTATTTATGTACTGTCTTGTATGTTCAACAGGGATTTAATGGAAGAGCTTGTAGTTTATATACGCGAAGCAGTCGACAGAAAACAGGAGAATATGCGACGTCGGCGTCGGCGTGATGCCTTGCGCTTGCAGCTAGTACGTGTGCTGGAAAAAATTGCAGAAAATGGCACATTTGGCGTAAGGTAAATAGATGAATAAAGTAAGCGTAATACGAGGGTCATTAAAAAGTCTTTAGTATCCGGAACACTAATGCCATTTGGGTCGGTCTGGCATTTCTATCGTAAAATTGGAAATTTTTATCATTAACGTGCTCAGAAATTTTCACAGTACGAGCGCTTTCTGTGTGATTTATAGCTACTTCAAAGTTAAAAGTAGAAAAAAAGGTTAATATAAAAAAAAAATTTTGGTTGGATGATTGCTTACAACTTTCGCCGTTGATGAACACAAAACAGTGAAATGATAAACTTATTCCTCCTTAGGGTGAGGAAACACCATCAAGGCCAGTGTCTAAAATTGGTAAAATGCATCCGTACTTCGTTCGACGGTGAACATTGAGAAGGTCGCCTAATATCGGTTAGTGCGCCAGAAAACATGAACATTGTACGCGATATAGATCGTCATGGCACATATTAGTTGCGTTCCAGATGCTTTTCTTGTAAATCCTGTTTGCGGGTTTTTACAGGAAGTCGTTCCCGGTCACCACCATCCGTAAGGTTTAGTAATAGCGAAAAGAGGTTTTCCTGTAAATCCTGTAAAACCTGCAAATCGTGAAGCAAATTGAACGCAACTATTGTGAGATTAGGGGGCCCTATGCATTCACGCTATACCGTTAGAAAGCTATGTACGCGCAGTATACCATATGATGTGGCCATTGCTAAAACAAAAAAATGCTCGCGTCAATTAGTGGATACAAACGCTGTAAAAATACAAGCAGGCCATGTCCAGACAGGTAAATCACATTGTAACAGGTGACGTTACTTAAGTATATGTGCAGAAGCCAGCAAAAAAGGATTTTTCAACAAAAGGAAAAAGAAACCAATTTGTTCGCGCAAAGATGCGCTTCGAAACAAATGGTCGCTGGTTTCTTCACTATAACGGTCATGTCTTTCATCAAGCCAAAGCGAGCTTTGAAACAAATGATTTCTTAGGTACTCAAAACATTAATTTGAGGGGTCATCTGTCGTCGAGTCCAGGGCTCGAAATATCACATACGATATCGTATTACTCGTTACGTAAAAACAAATCCCAATCAGCTTTATACGACTGGCGTTTCACGTAATTTTCTCTCATACGGTTTTCGATCAGTGAACGGATGTTACGGATTCGAGCCCACATTTGCGAACTAATGGCTTTCTTATTTCCATATATCAAGGTCCATTTTGTGCACAACGCTTTTCATCGCCATCGCTAGTTCAAAAAATATGTTTTCCAGTTACCGACTTCACTGCGGGAAAAGTTATACACCAACGCGTGCAAAAGTGTATAAATCATGCTGAAAGATATATTGAAAACCAATAAGACCATTTCTACCGACAAAATTTGTTTCTTTTTTAGGACTTTTTAGTGATCCTCGTGTATCAATTTATCATTAGGTATTTATAATACTTATAATCTAAACTTCTATACGTATATATACTATATATATACTATATACTTATACTAATTATATAAAGAGAAGTCCCTTTTTTTGTAACAGGTAATCTCGCGAGCGGCTGGTCCGATTTTCATGAAATTTTGTATACAAATAGCTTTCGGTAACCACGGTAGGTGGACCAGGGACCGGTCTATTCGAAAAAATCTTATTATAGTCCGATTTGCTTAAAATTTAGTACGTACGTAGCTTTTTAGCATATATTAGCATATATGACCCATTTTTTCCGGGAGGTGGTCCAGGGACCGATCTATTCGAAAAAATCGAATTTACGGTCCGATTTGCTTAAAATTCGGTGCGCAGGTAGCTTTTTAGCATATATTAGCATATATGATCCATTTGGTCCGAGAAGTGGACCAGGGACCGATCTATTCCAAAAAATTTATGGTCCGATTTGCTTAAAATTCGGTAATTAAGTAGTTTTTTAGCATATATTAGGATATATGGTCAATTTTTTCCGAGAAGTGGACCAGGGACTGATCTATTCGAAGAAATCGTATTTATGGTCCGATTTGCTTAAAATTCGGTACGTAGGTAGCTTTTTGCCTGGATAAGCTTATAGATTCCTGTTTTCCAATTTTCATGCAATTTCGAATATAAATAGCTTTAAGTAACGACCACATCAAGGGGCGAATTCGTCACTAGGCAAGATTTTTTTGCGCCAATCAGAAACAACGGATACTGTCAAAATATAATTATAATATACTAGCAGACCCGGCGAACTTCGTCCCGCCCAAAATGTTTATATATTTTATTGAAACTTTTTGGTCCAACATTTTCACCAACAATTCACGTTTACGATTGTCATTGGCACATTCGTCTGCTAGGATTGGTCATTTGCCGCTTTAAATAACCTAAGGAAAGTGTTATATCCGTAAAGAAGTTCTTGAAATTCTCCAGTTGTGCGGCATTTCATAGCACGGTTATTCGCAAAGCGAAATACATTTTTTCCTCTTCACTCCCTGGCGACAACAATGACCCGGTTCTATAGTGAATATCCTTGAAGCTTTACAGTATAGTTGGTGGCAATTTCAAAATGGGTGCGGATCAATGTTCTACAGAAATGTAATATACATATACTTAATTCAGACGAAAGTTTGAACGCATAATAATATTGGAAAATCACATCCATTGGGCCAATCGCAACGCAGGAGCGTTCGATATATCAATGGTGCAACAGGTCGACTTAATCTGACCTTCACGGCCCCTTTTCTCACTTGGCTATTTTTAGTAACAACTCGACTTCAGTACCATTTGGAAGCACGTTTTTGCAATAGTATTGCATACATATTTCAAATATTAGCCAAATCGGATCATAAATAAGATTTTTATCCATCCATCCAGAGACCCACTCAAATACACAAAAAGTTTCGCTAAAATCCGTACAACCATTTAGGAGGATTTCACTCACAAACACACCTACAGAAGAATAAAAAAATTCATTCAAAGATAGCTAAAGGTCGGTAGGTTTGTAGGCCCCCCCCCCCCTTTTCAAATAGCCCAAATTTTCTCCATGAGTATTGGCTTGATTTCAACTATATACATATCTCCATACGAAGTTCCAGTACTGTAACATGAATATTTTCAGAGATATGCAGTATAAAAATTCGATTTATATGTGAGGTGCCACGCCCCCCTTTCCAACAGTTGCCTTCTTTCTTCATGAGTATGCGATTGATTTCGTATATCTCCATACCAAGTTCCAGAACTCTACCATGAACACTTCCAAAGATAGGCAGTATGAAAAATTCGGTTTGTATGGGAGATCTCACACCCCTTTTTACAAAAGCTAAAATTTTTCTCCAAGGGTATGCGATTGATTTCGTAATAAAATATCTACATCAGACGGACCAGGAAAAATTGAATGTGCTTCTTCTTCTGAAGAACTTGTCTTTTTAGCATTTAGCTAAAAACCATTAATTGAAAATTTCTGGCATGGACGTTTTGTGCCTCCACCTCAAGCAATTAATATTAGTCGTTCTTCAATCCGTGCGCTCGAAAATTCCTCGGGGAATTTAAGTTTCTAAAATAAAAGGTTCTAAAATAATTCCCTCGGCTGTTTCCGAGGTCAGTGAACACGCTGGGAAATTTTTTTTCGATGTGGCCCTTATACCTTGAGATATTCAGCCTCATTGCGTAAGTTATAAATTTATTTATTTAGTCTATGAAACAATATTTCTTACAGACTAGGAGATAAATGGTTTTGCTAATGCTAGTACATATTAACATTACAAAGTATTGTGAAGGAGATTTAAAAAAGCTTGTTTTGTCATAGAGAAATCAATTATGATTCTTTCCGATAATATATTAAGTTCTCGCATATATCTCGCCAAGGGAGCATTACTGGAAAATCTTGTCTTGACTTTTGCCAAGTAAAATGGATAAGAGACTCGAAGATTGCGCCTGGGTACATTGAAGCTAATCCGTTCCAAGAGATAGGGGCAATCGACGACACCTTGAATAACATTAAATGTAAAGGTTAAAGAAAGGATAGATCTCCGGCTTTCTAAAGATTGTAAGTTTATCAGCTTGAGACGCGAAGCGTACAAAGGAACAGGACTTTCAAATTTCAGTGACCGAAGAGCATACTTAAGAAAAATCGTTTACTGTCGTGCTGAAATATGTAAACGACGAAAATCGTCGAAAACTAGGCAGTGCTGCCAAGTTTTTCCGTTTTAATACACTAGTCGAGTGGAAATTTTGGGCAATGACATGCAATTTTCGATACGATTCGACTCTCGAAAAAACGACTTGCATCCGACACGACTCTCGCAATAAGGCTGATTATACAAAAATCGTGGAAAAAAACAGAAAAAAAATTTCTGATTTCTTCTCATTGATGATAAGTATTTACAACCAGTTTTTTTTTGACAAACAAAATAAGTGTTCGCAAAGAATTATGAATTCTTTACTCCTCTATATGTATATCGGTAACATACATATATCTCTATGCATTGCTAATGCTTGAAACACATTCAAAACGACGGCCAACGGACCACAGCTGTCAAATTATTTTAATACGTGCTCTTATGTAGATAAATAATTTGGCGGCTATAGAACTACACCGCGACTGTGGTTGTGGCGAGCTTAGATCTATTTATATTTTTCCAGCGACATATAAGGTTCTTCTTTTTCTTTTATGTCAAACTGATACAAATTCATGTCGCTGTCGCGTTCAAAAAATTCATGTCACTATCGCCAAAGCGTTTAGATAATGAAGTATTGAAAGAAGTGAAACTTCTTAAAAAAGGTGTACTCACGAAATTTGATGTGTAAACATATGTTTACGGCCCGGCAAACCATTAGGCGATTGAGTTACATACATAGGTTTGGTTAGAAATTAAACATTAATTTCATTTCATCTTATTCATTTTCTGATATATAATTTATTTATTTATTTTCCGGTAACATCCCCTTATATTAACTCGCCTTGCTAGCATCCTTTAGATCGGGTTGTAATGGAAGTAACTAAATGGAGTGAACTGTCACATAATTATCTATTATATGTTTAACAAATAAATGCAAATGTTT